TATTGAACAGATAAGCTGAATTGACAGTGTGTTTAATTAGTGCGCCACCGGGCCGGCCCGTGTATAAGTTTTTGTTTGGACACCTGCTTTCAATTTTTTTGGGTATATACCCAGGAGTGGAATTGTGTGTTTGTATTTCTATTTCCTTTTCTTTCTTACACAGAAGATAAAGTCTATAGATAGTTTTGTACTTTGCTTTTTTCACTTAACAAGATATCCTGAAAGTCACTCTGTATTAGGTCTTTCTTTCTTCTTTATTTCTATATAGCTGTATACTAGTCCATTGTATGGATGTACCATAATTTATTCAAATGGTTTCCTTGGGTGGACATTTAGATTATTTTCTATAATTTGCTATTACAAATAGTGCTACTTCTAATAACTCTGTGCATATGGTGTTTTCCTCAGGGAAAATTTCCAGAAGTGAGATTACTGACTCAAAAAGTAAATGCACATGAACTTTTATTAGATATTGCCAAATTCTTCTTCATAGGAGTTGTACCATTTTACATTCCTGTGAACAATGTATGGGTTTCTGTTTCCCCCCAGCCTCACTAGCAGAGTGCGTTGTTAAGCTTTTGAATTTTTGCCACCCCCCTGAGAAGTGTCATCTTAGTATGGTTTTCATTTGCATTTCTTTTATGTGTAAAGTTGAGCACCTTTTCATAAAACTTAAAACTGTTTATCGATTCAGTTCATTGTCATGTTCATTGTCTACTTTCGTATATGTTTGTGTTTATTGCCCACTTTCCTTTTGGGCTTTTGGTCTTTTTTTTTTTTTAATTCTTCATATTAGGGAAATTTTTATCAGGGAAATTGGCCTTTATCTGTAATACATATTGCAAAATCTTTTCCTGGTTTTTCTTTTAATTTGTTTCTGGTGTAATTGAATCTTTTTTTCTCCCTTATGGATCGAATTATAGTCAGAAAGATTTTCACCACATCTAGGTTACCTTTTGGTGTTTATGCTGGTTTACTTCTTTACAAATGGCTAGCCCACACTCCTTATTAAAAAGTCCGTCTTTTCCTCCGTGATATGTCACCTTTATTATATGCTAAATTTCCATAAGTGATTGGGTTTTTTCTAGGCTTTATTTTCTGTTTCATCCAGTCTGTATTTGTATGCCACTAACACTATTTTAATTATTCTAGGTTTTTTTGAGGTGGAGATTGTTCTGGGATGAATCGGAAAGTGAGAGTAAAATTGACAGTATTAGAATAGTTTGTAGGTGATTTACACATGTCCATAGAGAAAACTTGTGACAAAAGTCCTTTAATGAACAATTTAGTGTTAATATGACATATTGCATGTGTCTGGTTGCTGTTCCTCATAAAATAGAAATTAGGACGCTACAATAACATAACTGGTAATCCCATTTCTTAGTTTAGTTTTTTTGTCTGATTTAGTATAGAGGTAAAAAGATGATCTCATGAAGGCTACTGGGCTAATCCCCTTGGTTCCAGATTAGCTTTATCTTTTTACTTTCTGTAGGGAAAACAAAACAACAAAAAACACCCCACTTTTTAAAAAGCTTTTTATTCACAGTAACGATAGCAATTAAATAGTCACACTTAACTCATCCTGATATGTAACTGGTGTTTTGTTAGTTTTTGTAATAAACTGATTTAGCCCAAGTTTTCTTGAATTAAGCTCATTTTAAAGATTCTTCCCTATGTACCTTGTATAAAATCTCATATTTTTGTATTTTTAATTCTTAATGTTTTTCTTGTCAAATTCCCGTATACAGATAGCATGTAACTAGGCTTTTAGTTTTCCATTTTGATTTTTGCCAGTGCATGTTTCTAAATCATTTATATTCCAATAGGAAAAGATGGTAAAGCACACAACAAAGACAAAAGGAGTGTAAAGAAGCCTGCAGTGACAAAACCAAACAATATCAAGTCAATGTTCATGGCTAGTGCTGGAAAGAAAACTGCAGATGTGAGTTTCATGGTTTCCTTATGTTTTGTCTTTTCCTTTGTGAAGTGAATTTAACATTTGATTATACAGATAATAGGTGCTCAGTACATAATTTGAGTAACATTTTCCCAGTTTTACTCGCTAAGTTGGATGTAGATTTCTAAGTGAATTTAGCCACCTCAGTGATTGGAACGTGGGAGATAGAAAAGAAAATTGAACAGATAAGCTGAATTGACAGTGTGTTTAATTTCAGTGATTAGCAAGAAGATCATGGAATGAGGTTGGAAATAGAGGATGGGAGCTGTATTAGTCCACTTCCATTGCTTATAACAAAATACACAGAACTGGGCATTTTATAAAGAAGATGAAATTTATTGCTTACAGTTTTTGAGGCTGGGAAGTCCAAAGTCGATCTGGTGGGGAGGGGAGAGGGAGAGAGAGAGGGAGAGAGAGAGGGAGAGAGAGAGAGAGAGAGAGAGGGAGAGGGAGAGGGAGAGAGAGAGAGACTCCTCTCTCAGTGGGGACCAATTTTCTAGTATATGAAATTGGGGGACAATTCAAGCTTCAGCAAGTTTTGAGGGGACATAATTCAATCCACTATAGGAGCTAAGGATTTAGGAATTATATATGCACAGGTGGTTGTTAAAATCTGCAAATAGTAGGTTAGCACTCAGAGTGAGAAATGAAGAGGCAAGGACTGACTGGTTAGGTTCTTCTTTTCATAGACATGTGTGTGATCTGGGTGAAAATTTTAAGTGTAGGGCTTTCTCATTTTACCTTCCTTTATAATTTCCAGAAAACTGTAGATTTGTCCAAGGATGATTTGCTAGGTGACATTCTACAGGATCTGAACACTGAGGTAAGTGAATCTCCAGAAGCTGTAAAATATGCAGGAGACATAGGATGGAGAAACAATTCAGTAATTACACAAAACAGACTATTGCTAGAGTTTTTTAACAAATGCAAGGACAACACCACTGGAAAAAAAACAAAAAACAACAAAACCAACAACCACAAAGAAAACAAAAAACCCTTCAACTTTGTTTCTCCTCACCATTTTAGGTGAGTAGTTTCCAGCTGTTACAGCTATGTGATTATTAGATAGGGCTGTGTGGGTGTGTGTTTGAAGTAGTAAGTATATACCTAGGAGTCAGTTCTGTGAGTGCTCACTGTTTGTGTTCAGATGCTGTAGTATATGTTCCCTAAATAGATTGTAGCCTGTCAATCTGCACAATCAGGCGTGAGATCTTCATCTTGAATTCTGAGTAGGAGTGAAGGAAGAGTTAGGGAGCTATCCCTGATAGAACTCAAACAGGCTTAGTTGCACTGTGAATTTGAAATTTGGCCATTTCCCATAAAGACTAAGATCTCATTTAGAGGTATACTTCTAAGTGATTGTTGATTAAAATGACTAATATCAACATAATGTATCATGTCTGTCCTGACAGTTTTTAAATATAGTATTCTGGAACAGTAAGTGGAAGAATATGTTAAATTAAAAAAGAAATTGGTGAGGGATGGATTCATCTCTTCTGGTTTTCTAATGATTTCTGTAGTATAGTTGCTATAATAACTGCGGTACATGAACATAGATTTTGGGGGGAGGTAGAGAAGGAAAAAATGCTTTACTTATTGGGCATCAATGAATGAAGAAATGTACTTTTCCTGTCTTGTGATAAATAAGCATGGCAATGAATGTCTGTCTTACCCTTCTTTTTAGACACCTCAAATAACTCCGCCACCTGTAATCATACCAAAGAAGAAAAGATCCATTGGAGCCTCAGTGAATCCTTTTTCTGTGCACAACCCCAAGGTAAAGTGTGTAGAAATACCTTCAATATTGCTTTAAACTTATTTTGTTGCTTTTCTATGTGTGAGGGAAATGCCTTTGAATTTGTTTTTGGTTTTTGTTTTAAATTAGGACTCCCGTTCAATATATACTTTCATGTATTTCAAAAATAGCATGTGCCTACTTTCCTCATAGTAAATTTTGTAGTAACTAGTATGTGTATATTATGGGTATTACAACTGTGCTAAATGCAATAATTTTCTTCCTGGAAATAGGTATTCTTTTGTAAACCTAGGTAACAGTAAAATAATTGAAGCTCTTACATTAGTAATACATAAAATCTTTTTCTAAATGGGAATTGTCATTATCTCTGGTCAGGGTAGGATAGTTGCATATTTTTAGTATGCAGGCCTAACTGACTAAACATTTAAAAACATTTACAGGCAGTTCCTTCAGGAAAAACTGCTTCCCCTGTCTCCAGGAAGGAGCTTCCATTAACTCCTCTTCCTCTTAAACATGCTGAATTTGCTGGTAAGTCTGATGTCAGGCAGAAGTGCAAAGGTGTTGAGCAGTTCCTGTCAAAAACGGAGGTCCCATGATGAAGAAATTGGAGGCAATTATGAAGGTATTGTGATGGCAAGTTTAGGTGTGAAAGATTTGAATTTATAACAGTAAAAGTTAAAAGTATCCAATTTGGAGATTGAAGGGAAATGCAAACGTAGCATAGGAAAAGGGCAGGCTGCTGTTTCAGTGTTGGGTAAGCCTTTGTGCCCCATGACACTAGCATGTGATGGGAATGTGTGATGATGCCTACAGGAGAGCTGGTGCAGGCAGAGCGGACAGAAGATGAGCAGGAGTCAGGGGCAATGGAGTTTGAAGATGGCGACTTTGATGAGCCCATGGAAACTGAGGAGGTGGATGTGGAGCCTGTGGCTGCCAAGACTTGGGACCAAGAGAGTGAGCCGCTAGAGGGGGTGAAACATGAGGCAGATCCTGGGAAAGGGACCATGTCCTACTTGTAAGAGCATTTTATGACTTTTCTGAGAAATAGCACTACAATTATTCTATTGGGTTTTGAAAGATTTTTGAAAATGTGATTTCTGCAGAGGAAGTTTTCTCCCGGATATCTCTTCTTGGGATGTTGATCAGGAAGATGACAGCAGTTTTTCAGCTCAGGAAGTTCAAGTGGACTCCAGTCACCTCCCATTGGTAAAAGGGGCAGATGAGGAACAAGTGTTCCAGTTTTATTGGCTGGATGCTTATGAAGATCAGTATAACCAACCAGGTAATCATCCATATAAGGTAAACATGTACCATTAATATGGAATAGCACTTTTCTCTTAAGTACTTTAGTGAGTATAATTGGCACAGGCTTTTCCTTCACTTACATGCATTGTAGTAAAGTGCATGAGCGATGCTGATGGAGAGGAGCAGTGGTGTGAATCATCCTTAAAGGTGCTTATTCCAAGAGTCAGTTATATGTGGTTTTGGACTGTGTGTTTGTAGTTCACCACTGATGTATCTGAGGTTATAGGATCCCACTTTACTTTAAATGGAGTCAGTCACTAATTTGTCTCTTTATTCAGCAAATTTGAATGACTGTTGTGTGCCAGGCACTGAGATAGAGTGAACAAGCTGGACAGATTCCCTACACTGTAATGGAGATTACAATCTAGTGTGGTGGGAGTAGGTAGGGGAAAATTAGCAGTAAATTAGCTAAGTTAAAAAGTGATGTAAAGGAAATTAGTCGGAGGATGGCCAGGGAAGGCCTGTCTGAGGAGACGACCACTGGTCGGAGATTTGAGGCCCATGAAGAGGAGGAAAGGGCGCTTCAGCTTAAGGAACCAGTAAGCGCAAAGGCTTGGAGAGAGGAAGGAGGTGGTGTGTGTGGTTGTAGCATAGTAATCAAATAACAAGATTGCTGTAAAATGAAGTTGAAGATAAAGGCAAAGACCAGATAATGAAGGACCTTGAAAGCCATATTAAGAAGTTGAATCTTATTCTAAGAGCAATAGGGAGGCATTGCTTGGAGGGTTTTAAGTGCAGGGGGTGGTAGTTACATAATCGGGTTTACTTTTCAACAGGAACACTGTGGTTTGTGTGGAGAGTAGGCAGTGTACTGTGTGTGCATGGATGTTTGTTCATGTTGGGGGTTGGGGACTGGAGTGGAGTAATGGGGAAGTGTGGAAGGCCTGGAGATCAGTCTACTTGGACCCTGGTGGTAACTGGGGAGGAGAGATGTGAAGGCATTTAATATGTATTTTGACACAAACTTGTTAATGAGTTGGGGGGGGGTTGATGTCAAAGGAGGAATCAAAGGTGATTCCCAGGTCATGCTAATGAGTTAATACTGTGAATTGTTTATGTTTATTCACAAAAAGCCGAGAGGCTATCCAGTTTCCTTTTGTGCCTTTTTGAGCCATTCCTCATTGTGGGACTGGGCATGACAAGATTTGTCATGTTAATATAAAATATAGGATACACCCTTATAAAGTTGTCTTTATTTATTTATTTAATAATTTATTTTATTTGTTGAATCAAAATCGATCATACATATTTTTGGGGTTGAACATTGAGATATGTTGATTAAATCAGTATTACTAGCATATATATTGTTACAAATCATAATTATTCTTTATGCCCCTTGTCCAACCTCTTCCCTTCCCCCATTCCCACCCCTCCACCCACTAATTGCCCTAGATTTCTTCTCCTTCTGAAAGAATAATGGTTACTCTGTTAACTTGTTACCTAGATGATCTGTCCAATGCTGAGAGATGTGATCAGGTCCCCCAATATTATCATAGAGCAGATGCTTCTTCTGTCACTCTGAAATGGGTTTTGTGGAAAGAGACATCCTCTTCTTTTCTTTGTCTCTGCTGGTGACTCTTCTTATGTGAATGCACTCCAGTGGTTGGCTGACCATCTGCCTGGTGGCTGTGCCGTCTAGCCGTTTTTGCAGCAGCCATGGTTATTGTGGTGACTGTGGTGGGCCACCCACGTGGGGGTGCTGTTTTTGGCATGCTCCTTGGCACTGGCGGTATGCCTGGTTGTGGGGTGTGTTTGGTCCCCTTCTCCTTGCCTTGGGTCCCCAGGCAGGCCCCAAGGTGCTGGCATGTTGTGCCTGGTTGTGGGAGAGAGGTCCAGTCCACTTATCCATGCCCCAGGTCCCTGGGTGGGCTCCAAGGTGCTGGCATATTGTGCCTGGCTGTGGGAGGGTGGTCCGGTCCCCGACTCCATACCCTGGGTCCCTGGGTGGGCCCCAAAGCACTGGCTCAGTGTGCCTGGTTGTGGGAGAGAGGTCCAGTCCCCTTTTCCATGCCTCAGGTCCCCGGGTGGGCCCTGAAGCGCTGGCTCAGTGTGCCTGGTTGTGGGAGAGAGGACCATTCCCCTTCTCCATGCCTCAGGTCTCTGGGCAGGCCCTGAGGCACTGGTGCAGTGTGCCTGGTTGTGGGAGAGAGGTCTGGTCCCCAACTCTATACTCCAGGTCCCTGGGTGGGCCCCAAGGTGCTGGTTCAGTGTGCCTGGTTGTGGGAGAGAGGTCCAGTCCCCTTCTCCATGCCCCAGCTCCCTGGGTGGGCTCCGAGGTGGTGGCATGTTGTGCCTCGTTGTGGGGGGGGTGGTCCAGTCCCCGACTCCATACCCTGGGTCCCTGCATGGGCCCCAAGGCGCAGGCTCAGTGTGCCTGGTTGTGGGAGAGTGGTCCGGTCCTGACTCCATACCCCGGGTCCCTGGGTGGGCCCCAAGTGCTGGCTCAGTGTGCCTGGTTGTGGGAGGGTGGTCTGGTCCCCTTCTCCATGCCCTGGGTCCCTGGGCAGGGCCCAAGGTGCTGGTGTGGTGTGCCTGGTTGTGGGAGAGAGGTCCATTCCCCTTCTCCTTGCCTCGGGTCCCCGGGTAGGCCCCAAGGTGCTGGTGTGGTGTGCATGGTTGTGGGAGGGTGGTCTGGTCCACTTCTCCATGCCCCGGGACCGTGGGTGGGCCCGGAGGCGCTGGCTTGGTGTGCCTGGTTGTGGGAGAGAGGTCCAGTCCCCTTCTCCATGCCTCAGGTCCCCGGGTGGTCACCGAGGTGCTGGCTTAGTGTGTTGGTTGTGGGAGGAAGATCCGGTCCTCATCACCATGCCCCGGGTCCCTGGGTGGGCCCAAGGTGCTGGCTTAGTGTGCTTGGTTGTGGGAGAGAGGTCCAGTCACCTTCTCCATGCCTAGGTCCCCGGGCGGGCCCTGAAGCACTGGCACAGTTTGCCTGGTTGTGGGAGAGAGGTCCAGTCCCCTTCTCCATGCCTCAGGACTCTGGACAGGCCCTGAGGCACTGGTGCAGTGTGCCTGGTTGTGGGAGAGAGGACCATTCCCCTTCTCCTTGCCCCGGTTCCCTGGGTGGGCTCCGAGTAGCTGGCATGTTGTGCCTGGTTGTGGGAGAGAAGTCCAGTCCCCAACTCTATACCCCGGGTCCCTTGGTGGGCCCCAAGGCGCTGGTTCAGTGTGCCTGGTTGTGGGAGAGAGGTCCAGTCCCCTTCTCCATACCCCGGCTCCCTGGGTGGGCTCTGAGGTTAAAGTTGTCTTTGTTTAGATCCTTTTTTGGATCTGCAGTAGATGCAAACTGTGTGTGTTTCAAAATGGTTTCCTGGAGACTTCATGCAGTGAAAATAGGAGTACCTAGATGTCAGTAAAGCAAGTGTATGAGTAAGAAGAGTAAGTATTAACCGTCAGACTTGAAGGCCAGATTTGCCTTAAAGATAATCAGGCATTGATTTTAATAGGAAAAATGTTAATGGTGGTGGTGGAGGGGTGCAGTAAAAGCACTAATATACTTCAACTTATCAAATATGCACAAACTTGTGCAGAGCCACTTGAGTAGTTTCTTAGCTAAAACTTGTTAGTTTCTTAGGTAAAGATATAATCCGTCTTAGAAATGGTATTTTAATCTACTTTCGCTAGGGCAAGATTTGGTTAGACCCTGTCACCTCTTTGACTACTTCTTTGTTACTCTCTGCTGGAAGATGGTTTGACAAAAGTATGATTACATGAAGCTGAGCAGATGATTTCCCATTCATTGCTGCCTCATTGTACAACCTCAGAGGACCACAGCAGTGTGACTGGTGCTCTCTGGAGCTGTGCAACATGGTGGGCCTACCCATCCCAATACTACTCCCTGTGCTTTGCTGTATCTGCTCAATGCTATATTTTATTCCTTGTCTTGGTTAATGGTCTCATCAGTACCAGAAACCTGGGAACCATTCTTGATTCCCTCACTTCCCTCACCAACTCTTGTTAGTTTTCTCCTCCTAAAGTAGACAACCTATCTTCTGTTTCTCCCCACAACTACCACCCCGATCCCTTCTTGTCTGCCGAAACCATTGCACCAGGCTCCTAATTGATCTCTTAGCTGTCATCCTCAACATTACTGCCAGAGTGATTGATCAGAATGGTAACTCTGACCATGTCATTTGCTCATTAAAAAGAATCCTCAGTGACTACTGCCTACAACCCAAGCTCCTCAGCAAGGCTTCAGATGCCTGCCGTCTATGAATTTTGTGCTCTAGAATGTACCTTGTTGCTGTTTATACCTATCTATGTCCCTTTACTCACTGTGTTTTGTCATTATATTTTTGTCTTCTAGCTCATTCTTCAAAATTCAGCCTATGTGTCATCTCCAGAGGGGCCTAAGAGCCCTTTCCCTGTGACCTCATCATATCCTTTTCCATTGTAGCATTTGTCATATTTTGAAACGATCTGAGTCTGTTTTTCTTTCCCCAAACGCCTCTAAGCTCCTGGAAGGCTGGATATTTCATTTCCAGCATCCAGCACAATGCCAGGCACATAGTAGGTGTTCAGTACATGGTGATTGAAATGAACTGCACAGTGATTTACGGTTCTATAGATGCGCATGAAAGGTTTCAGACAAGCAGAATTGGATTTGCTGCTGTTATTGAGTTTGCCTCTTAAAGCCTTGTAGCCATGTGGGCTAAGAATGGGTAGCACAAAAGTGGATAGTGTGCTCCCCTACCCCCCAATAGTAAGTACACCTGTAAGGCATCAAATTGCCAGTGTCAGTTGCCAAGGATTAGAAACTTAAGTAACAACAGCCCTCTTTATTTCATTTTTGAAAATAAGTTTATTATTTCTACCTTTTGTTTACTGGTTGATACTCTTATTAATGAACAGAGCATCCTTTTACAGGGCAAAGATCTAGAGCTGCACTATCCACTGTGATAGCCACTGGCCACTTGTAGTTCTTTAAATTTGGATTAATTAAAATGAAATAAAATTTAAACTTTAGCTCTCAGCCACTAGCCATATTTCAAGTGCTCAATAAGCCACATATGGCTAGCAGCTACCATATTGGGTAGTTCAGATATAGAACAATTCTGTCATCACAGAAATTTCTATCGGCTAGTGTTGGGCTGCAGTGATAGGTGTTGGAGGTTAAGACTGAAGCATTGAAACACAGCTATATTTGCAAAGCAACCAGTTTATGATATGTGTTGAATTCTTGGTACTGACAATAGTCATGGATAGGTTTTTTCAACCAATATTGGGAAATACTTTATAATTGAAAGAGGTATTAATCTGTTACTGGTCTGTCATCCAAATGCTAAGGTAAAATGAAATTTCTAGTGCTGGAGAAGGCCTAGAGATCTAGTCTAGTTGCTCACTTAGGAGGAAACTGAGGCTTCAAAAGATAAAGTAGTCAGCTCTTTAGTGGCAGAAGTGTGAGCTTCTCACCTTTACTCCACTCTACTCTTGGGTGGTACTTCTCAAGTTGTGTCCTTTGCTATGGCACATCTTTCTCTGTTATTGATGCCAATGGGTTAAATAAGATGGCTTAAAAAAAAAAGTCCTTTAATCTCAGAGGGTTGAACAGTTTCATCGTGATAGCAGGTAATGATCACTGAGCTTTGGAGAAATCAATGCTGCTAATAAAAATGAAGCACTCCCAAAGACCCTGTTATTGTTTCTCACTTTCATACAGATTCTAAGTAAGTCAGTTGTTGCTGAATGCTCCATAATTATGAAAAGAATCTTACTCGTTGCGTATGGGAAGATATCCTGTCTTCATTATGACTTTTTCAAGGTTGAATAATCCTCACTGCACCTGGTTTCAGCTAGTAACTTTGGGGGGGATGTAATCTTTGTTTACCATGATCTTTTTGTGGTAAATGAGGCATAAACAGTGTCAAATGTGTTGCATGAAGTGTGATATTAGTTTGACTGTAAGATGAGCTATTTGAATCTTTGAATCCAATATTAGAGTCTTTATTTTTCTTTGCATGGAATTTTGTTTTTTCATCTTTAACTGTTGTGCGGATGACTTTTAATTTTCTGAGCTACTGTGATTTTTTTCTTTTTTAATCATCCCCACAGTCCTCCCTTCCTTCTCTCCTATCTCCCCTGCCTCTTCCCCCCCCCAGCTGAAAATCACACAACTCTTGTAAGAATTTTAACCATCTGCAGAAATGAAAATTCTTAGATGATCTTATTTCTACCAGGATGAGTGACAGAAGGAAGCACTGATGAGCAATCTTGTGAAACTGGGGTAATTGGCCTTGTGAATAGTAGCCTTTGCTTGTGCCAGAATTTTCTTAGTGTCTCAGATAAGTGGCTGTTTTGAGTGACTATGTTAATTATTGCTGTCTAATTATTCACGGAGCCCAGGATTTTGGACAGTGACCATCTTGGATTGACTATCAAATCTTTGGAGTCTTTTCTTTTTTCTTTTTTTTTTTTTAATTGAATCATGATTGATAATACATATTTTTGGGATTCAGTGTTGACATATGTGGATCAAATCAATATTACTAGTATGTATATTGTTACAAATTGTACTTATTCTTTATGCCCCTTGTCCAATCTCTCCCTATCCCCCCTCCGTCCCCCCTCCCACCACTGATAACCCTAGATTTCTTCTCTCCCTCTGAAAGAGTAACAGTTACTCTGTTGATTTGTTGCCTAGATGATCTGTCCAATGCTGAGAGGTATGTTCAGGTCCACCAATATTATCATAGAGCAGCTGTTTCTTCTGTCACTCTGGAATGGGCTTTGTGGAGAGAGATATCCTTTTCTTTGGTCTCTACTGGTGACTCTCCTTGTGTCAGTGCACTACAGTTGCTGGCGGACCATCTGTGTGGTGGTTGTGACGTCTAGCCACTTTTGCGGTGGTTGTGGTTACTGAGGTGTCTGGTGGGCCACCCACATGGAGGTGATGTTTTTGGCATGCTCCTTGGTGCTGGTGGTGTGCCTGGTTGTGGGTAGGGTCCAGTCCCCGGCTCTGTGCCTCGGGCCCCCAGGGGGGCGTCCCGAGGTGCTGGCGGTGTACCTGTTTGTGGGCGGGGGGGGGGGGCTGGTCCCTGGCTCAATGCCCCAGGCCCCAGGGGGGGACCCCAAGGTGCTGGCAGG